GGGGCCTAGATATTATGCATCAACATAGTGGGTCCTCATTCCATAATTAAATATGATTTTATGTTTGTATAAGGGAATTTCCCAGACGTGCTACAGAATTCAGTTTTCTACTCAGACACACTACATCCTACTGGCTACATTCTTTATATATCTTATATCCAACAGGCCACACCATACCAAAAAAGGGACTGGACTAGCCTGGGCCAGCCCAGCCCAGCTGGTAGAGTAGGCAGCAGCTCTCCTCCTCCAGTCACCCTCTTCTCATTTGATGCCATGTCTGACTCCACTCTCCATTCCTTTCATCAGCGGCTCAGAAGAGTAGATCTTAGTCCCTGCCTACCAGTGCCCCAACCCACTTGTGCGCTGTCCTGCCAGGGGCTAGGCTTTAACCAATCTCTAGACGGCCTTTCTGGCTTGGGTACCAGGAAAGATGTTCCTGTTCCTTGTGGTTTGTGCCGTGCCTTCTGTGGGTGACCTACCTGAGTTTACTCCTTTGGGCTGTCAAACACTCAAAGCAATGGTTTCAACAGATTTGGGATCCTGTTTTTCCTTCCCAAGGACTTTGATTTTGGATTTATGGTGTGAAAGGTTGCGTTAGCTGGGTGCCAGTGGCTCACACCTGTAATCCTAGCTACTTAGGAGGCTGAGATATGAGGATTACAATTCAAAGCCAAGCTGGGCAGGGAAGTCTGTGAGATTCTTATCTCCAACTAAACACCAAAAAGCTAGAAGTGGTAGAGTGCTCCCCTTGAGCACAACAAACAAACAAATAAAAGCCTCAGGGACAATGCCCAGGCCCTGAGTTCAAGTCTCAGGATTGACCCACGTTTACATGCAGGTCCATGTGCACGCGCACACAGACACACACACACACAATATATATATATATATATATATATATATATATATATATATATGTAACTTAAAACCTTCAGGGAACTTTTAAAAAAGTAAAACCCTCTCCAACACTCTGCCCTGATGGAAGTCCTTTTCTGTCAGCATGCACAGGTAGGGCTTTGTGTTTTTCACCACACATATGTGAAGGCTAACGTTAGGGTGTACCTATGGTAGCAGGTACTGTGCTAAGCACTGGACATGACAATTTCTCTCTTCACATTTGCCAAAATCCTTTAGAGTAGATCCTATGGATCATTTTACACTGAGAAAACTGAGTTCAAAAAGGTGAGTTATCTTGTTCAAAGTCACATCCTTAATAGGGGGTGATGCTTGTTAACTACAGGTTGTGAGCCCTTGGGGGCTCATGGCTTAGTCATCTCTGATTATCTGTCTGGTGCCAGAGAAAGCTCTTAACTCTTTTCCTATAGACCTACACCTTCCTATAAAGTTGCTGTATCATTGGGCATTTAAGCATTGATTGCTCTCTTTTTTTCATGTTATTTTTATTAGTCTTCCACCAATATTCCCATGAATATTGCTAGTGTGTTCTTTGCTAATCTTCCTGCCTAGATGGCTTATTCTACATGGTAGAATGAATGTATTCATTTAAAAAACTATTTTCATATGATGAGTCCTTGAATTATTACCAGGTGTTTCCAGCTGATCTTCCCACAATCTTAGTCTAATATGTACTGTAACCACGTGTACCTCTTTCACAATAAGCTCACAGGCATTGCCTCCTGTGACCTTTTATTGATGGACAGTGTATCTGAAAGGTCATATTTTAGCACAACACAGATCTTTGATAAACTAAAGCATTTTGTTTTGGTTATTGTTTTGTATGCTTTGATGTCAATGTTTTTTTTTATATTTTTTGTGAAAATACTGTACCGAGGGGTTACAATTACATGGGCAAGATAATTCAATGTTTTTTTTATATTCCCTGTTCTTTTGATTTTTTCTTGCCAATCCTAGGGCTTGAACTCATGGCCTGAGCTTCTATTGCTTAAGGCTAGCACTCCTACCACTTGAGCCAGAGCACCACTTCTGGCTTTTTCTGTTTATGTGGTACTAAGGAATCGAACCCAGGACTTCATGCATGCTAGGCAAGCACTCTACTACTAAGGCACATTCCCAGCTCTGTTCTTTTAATTTGAGATGTCTTAAAGTGACTTTTGTTTTTTATATTTTTTAAACAAATAGAGAAGATCTTGCAAGGGCTTGCATGTGTTTCATGTGATAGTTGATAGTTTTTTTCAGTCTGTTCATTTGTTATTCTAGTTTTGTGATTCTGATATACAATTACGTTATACTATCATGTGTTTCTAACTGTACTCTGAATAACTAAGTTGTAAAGAAATTTGTCTCATTTGTGTTATTCAAGTTGTAAATTATGTATGCATTACTCCAGTGTTTCTTGTTAAGGAAATAGAATGTTTACTGGAGAAAATTTAGCACAAACAATAAAATTAAAGAATTTATAAATCTCACTGGTAGCACATAACTCTGAAAATTTATCTTGATTCCTCCTTTTTAAAAGGTATTACAATCTGGACACTGGTGGCTCACACCTGTAATTCTAGCTACTTAGGAGGCTGAGATCTGAGGATCACAGTTCAAAGCCATCCCAGGCAGCAAAGTCCATGAGACTCTTATCCCCAGTTAACCACCAAAAAGCCAGAAGTGGAGCTCTGTAACTCAAGTAATATAGAGCTAGTCTTGAGCACTAAAACTGAGAGGCAGTGCCCAGGCCTTGTGTAGGGGTACACACACACACACACACACACACACACACAGACACAGACACAGACCAAAAAGTATTATAAGTACATATTGTTTTCCAAGAGCATACACACACACCAAAAAGTATTATAAGTACATATTATTTTCCAAGAGGTTAATTTTTATAAATTTTCAATAGTTAGGCCTTTCTACTCAAGATTATACTGCATTTCTTCAATTACTAAGATTTTAAAAACCTCTGTAAAAGTTATTTTCATGCAGGGCCTTCACCTTTTTTTCTTTTTTCTTCCCTTCTCCCTCCCTTCCCTCCCTCCCTTCCTTCCTCCCTTCCATCTTTCCTTCCTTCCTTCCTTGTTTCCTTCCTTCCTTCCATACTTGCTAGGCAGGTACTCTACCACTGAGCAAGAGCTCTACTACTTGAGCCACCGCACCACTTACATTTTTTTTTGGTGGCTAATTGGAGATAAGAGTCTCATGGACTAGCCAGGCGCTGGTGGCTCACGCCTGTAATCCTAGCTACTCAGGAGGCTGAGATCTGAGGATCACGGTTCAAAGCCAGCCCGGGCAGAAGAGACCGTGAGATTCCTATCTCCAAGAAACCACCAAAAAACCGGAATGGTGCTGTAGCTCAAGTGGTAGAGTGCTCGCCTTGAGCTGAAGAGTTGAGGGACAGCACCCAGGCCCAAAGTTCAAGCTCCACGACCGACAAAAAAAAAAAAAGAGTCTCATGGACTTTCCTGCCCAGGCTGGCTTTGAACTGTTATCCTCAGACCTCAGCCTCCTGAGTAGCTAGGATTACAGTCATGAGCCACCAGCACCCAGCTTTCTCTTTCTTTTTTTTTTTTGTTCCAGTACTGGGGCTTGAACTCAGAGCCTAGCTTTTTCCTTGTTAATTGGACATTAAGAATCTTATGAACCTTCCTGCCCAGACTAGTTTCAAACCACAATCCTCAGATCTCAGCCTCCTGAGTAGCTAGGATTACAGAAGTGCTACCAGGGCCTGGCTTTCTAAATGAGATTTTAATTATAAGGTTTTGTTCTATATTAACCCCCCTTTTTTTAATATTGCCTTGTTCATCACATTTTTTAAAAATTATTTTTAACACTTTATGTATACAAAATTTATTAGGAATTATTGATTTATTTTTAGAAGTTGAGGGATTAATGAGGAAGTGTATTAGGTCCTATATGGTTTTAGTGTTTGACTTTATTTCTTCTGGGGAACTATTCTCATTTTAGGCCTCAAAGGAAAGTAACTGGATTAGTGCTGGCTCAGAATTCTGTTCGTATAACTATGTCAGAATTTGCAGCAAGTCATGTCCCCTCTGAGTTTTCTAATCTCTAAGACCAGTTGTGCAATTGTGCCGCCTTACCTCTTAGGTAAGATATAAAGTTGTAGTGGGAACGGTTTATAAATGAGGAAACCCTGACCTTTTTCACCAAGGGGCCCAATGTACAGATAATTAGGCATGTTGTTTAGTTGCCTTCAGTTGTCAGACTTGTAAACAAGGCTGAGATTATCATCTTTTTTTTTTTTTTGCCGTGGGGGTCTGAATTCTGGGCCTGGGTGCTGTCCCTCTGCTCTTCAGCTCAAGGCTAGCACTCTACCACTTGAGACACAGCTCTGCTTCCGGCTTTTTCTGCGTATGTGGTGCTGAGGAATTGAACTCAGGGCCTCATGTATGCAAGGCAAGCACTCTACCATTGAGCCACCTTCCCAGACCCTTGTTGTCATATGCTTTGGAATATTTTTTTAAAATAGTGGGTTTAAATAGCGAAAAGGAGCCTTGAATACTGGTGTATGCCTATAATTCCAGCTACACAGGAAGCAGAGAGAAGAGGATTTTTGTTTGAGACCAGATCAGGCAAATGAATGAGACCCTATCTAAAAGGGAAAAAAAAACAACCTAAACTAAAAACTAAAGGTGTTGAAGGTGTAGCTCAAGTGGTACTTTTTGCCTAGGAAGCTTGAGACTGAGATCAAACCCCAATACTTCCAAAAGGAAAAAAAATAGTAAAAGGGTAGATTGGCTTTACTTTTTTTTTTTTTTTTGGCGGTCATGGGGCCTGAACTCTGGGCCTAGGCGCTGTCCCTCAGCTCTTCAGCTCAAAGCTAGCGCTCTACCACTGGAGCCAGAGCGCCACTTCCGGCTTTTTCTGTTTATGTGGTGCTGAGGAATCAAACCCAGGGCCTCATGCTTACAAGGCATGCACTCTACCTCTGAGCTACCTTCCCATCCTGGCTTTACTTTTTTTTTTTATAAAGTTTTAAAATCTTATTTTTATACTTTTTATTTGTACCACTAATAAAAAAATGACAGAATGCTGATGTATTAGAACTCCAGGGTGCCTTTTCTCTTTATTGTGGGAGAACTATTAAAGCCTGTTTTCTTAAACATCCTTGTGGATACATTTATAGAGTGTTTCTTTCCTAAATCTTTAAATGTTAGCTTAATGTTTCTTAATGATGGCAGCTAAGGGAGATGATTCAGAGAAAGCAAGATTAATTTTACTCATTATCCAAAAGCTTGTAACAAAAAGAACATTAAGTTAAATGAACAGTATTTGTTTCTCTCCCCTTCCTGGAACAGGAACTTGACAAGCATAGGAACCTTAGTTTTTTGTGAATGCACAATCACTGATGCATCTTCACCTCTGGTACCAAAGCCTGGCACATAGCAGATGCTCAATTAGGACTTGGTAAATGAACAAGTCAAAATATACAAGTGTTCTCTTTTTTTCTTGTGGGCATATTGGGGTTTGAACTCAGGGCTTTGCATGTGATAGGCAGGTGCTGTACCATATGATACACGCCATCCAGCCCTTTTAGCTTTCATTATTTTTTGAATAGGGTCTTGCTTTTTCTCCTAGGTCAGCCTGGGCTGTGATCCTGGACTGTGATTCTCCTGTTTACATTTCCTGCCTTAGCTTGGAGGACAAACCCCTACTATCAGATCCAGCTTTTCTTTGTTAAGATGAGGGTCTCCTGAACTTTTTACATGGGCTGGCCTTAAATCATAATCCTCTTAATTTTAGCCTCCTGAGTAGGTGAGATTATACATGCTTGCCACTGCCTTTAGCTCCATTCTTAGATTGAGTAATTAATGCATGTTTGTTTTTTTTATGGGTAGGACCGATTTCTTATTAACTACTTTCAAATATGCTTATAGAAGCTGAGACATCTTTTTCCCTCAGTTTTATTAATTCCTGTTCCTGCTAAGGTGTCAAAATGACTTTTCTTTTTTTTTTCTCCATTGGTCTTTACTACCTCATTCTAGACTTCTCTATGGTTTCAATTCATATCTTTTTTCTTTTCCTTCTTGTTTTCAACATCTGTCCATTTAAAAATATTGCAGTGAGCAAGGCACTGGTGGCTCATACCTTTAAAACTTAGCTACTCAGGAAGCTGAGATCTGAGGATCATGGTTGGAAGCCAGCCTGGGCAGACAAATCCTGAGAGACTTTTATCTTCAAATAGCCAGCAATATGCTGGAGGTGGAGGCATGGTTCAAGTGGTAAAGCACCAATTGTGAATGGACAAGCTGAATAAGAACATGAGGCCCTGAGTTCAAGCCCCAATACCCACACAAAAACTATTACAATGGGCATCTACTTTGTGCTGGACTGCCAGGTCCACAGGAGTTGGGGAAGACCTGTACTGATGCCATCCCTGGACTTGTAGAGTTTTGAATTTGTCAAGAAATTTAGGCCAGGGCTGGGAAGGTGGCTCAGTGGTAGAGCGCTTGCCTTGCATGCTCGAGGCCCTGGGTTCGATTCCTCAGCACCACATAAGCAAAAAGAAAAAAGCGGAAGTGGTGCTGTGGCTCAGATGGTAGAGTGCTAGCCTTGAGCTGAAGAGCTGAGGGACAGCGCCCAGGCCCAGAGTTCAGGCCCCACAACCGGACCCCCCCCCCCAAAAAAAAGAAATTTAGGCCAAACCAGATTCCTCACAACTGTCTCATTACTAACTATAGTAAGTGTTATAGAGATAAAACTTGGACAGTTTAGAGCTTTAAGAAAGGTTTCCAGAGCCTATCTCTTCTTGAATCTACAAGAAAGGTAGGAAGTGGCAGATTTCGGGTTCTCAGGGGACAGCCTGGGGCTTTAAAGGAAAGGGTTGGGAGAGGGAAGCTGTTGTTACTGGAGTGGGAATGCAGTGGAAGGTGGAATGGGGATGGGGACATGTTGTCCCTTGGTGCTCACCTTTCCTCCAGGGCCTCCTCAAGGGCCTCCTGGACAGAGGCCCCACACTGTGACTAACTGCACCTCTGGGTTGTCCAGAAATGATCTGTACCATAAACTTCTTCTCTGGATCTGGAAGTCACTTAGGAAATATTAAAAATACATTGTTCCTTATCATCTATTCAGTTGCTACATTTATTTTTTTCTTCTTCATTTTCTTCCATCAGATTTTATGTATTGCAGCACAGGAATTTAGTCCATTTTGCATTATTTGTAGGTAAATTTTATAGAAGACTTAGATAAATGGATGAAAATATGTTTATCTTCAGTGGAAGGCTGGATATGGTCCAGATTATCTGATTCTGTAGGGTCTCTATCTTTTATTGTCCCTGAATTATTTTATGTTATTGGAACTTACATAATACTTACGGTAATGCAGATAATTTCCTCCCATAGAAATGCAAATTTTATCTTTTGGGATTCAGCTGATTATTGCCCTATAGACATTGAAAAGATTTAAAATTTTACATCTATTAAGCAAATATATTTTGCTTTTCTTAATGACCTGTATATGTGTGGGTTTCTTTTGAATTTTCCTTTGAACCAGTTGTAATATGTTACTGTTTGCTTTACTGATAGAGTCACTAAAAGCTTTGACATATATGCATTTTATATCTACACAAAGGGATGATTTATTTTCCTTAAAAAACTACTTAAAATGAAAAAATAAGAAATGAATGTTCTACATATAGAACTCACCTGTCTTCTTAGCCTTACGAATATCTAGTAGGTACTATTTATCATTCACACTTTACAAATGAGGAAACTGAGGCAAAGAGTGATTATCTTGTCCAAGGTCACACAGCTAGCAACTGTTAGAACCTGGCTGCCAAGTGCAGGGGGCCACAAATTTGGGGAAGTGGGGAGGGCCTTGGATGCCAGCCTAAGAGGGCATACAGTCTTTACCCTGTTGGCTATGGGAGCCATGGAAGGCATTTAGGGGAGGAAGTGCCCAGGCTGTGGTATGTGCAGGAGGGCTGATACCATCTTTGTCTCCCACAGAAACCAGCTGCAGAGCAGCCCCTGTATAGCAGCAGCCTGTGGGGCCCGGCAGCCGACAGCCATGACTGTGTGGCTGAGGGCCTGTGGCTGCCACAACTACACGTAGGGGACTGGCTAGTCTTTGACAACATGGGCGCCTACACCGTGGGCACAGGGTCTCTCCTCAGGGGGACCCAGGCCTGCCGCATCACCTACGCCATGTCCCGAGTAGCCTGGTAAGGAGGCCTTGCTGCAAAATGGGGGCAGGGGTGGGGTGGGGAGGCAATAGGGAAGCTTGGGGACCTGAGACCCTGCTGCTCTGCAATCCAGTTTGACTGGGAGCCCCTGGCTGCTGGCTCTAGGTGAGGTCTGTGCCATGAATGAAAAGCTTACAACTCACGGCTCTGTGAATAATGCCGTGCTGGGCAGGGCTGTGGCTCTCTGCAAGGCCCAGGCCTGTTCTTCAACAGGTGGAAGTGGTAGGCAGCAGTAGGTGGGAGGGGCAGACAGGAGTCCTGGCAGAAGGAACTCAAGTGTGGTGTGTTTCATCCAAGGTACTGTTTCAGGTTGGCTAGGACCAGAGAGGAGGTGGCAGGCAAGGCCTGGAGGCCCAGTGAAGGGCTGGGGTGGTGGGAAGCAAGGACTGAGTTAACATCTAGAAAGACCACACTGGAGATACTGGGTTCTAATATTAAGGAGGGCAAGGATAGACAATTCAGCAGTGATATTCACTAGACATTATATTGGAGATGAACTATACAACCCGGAGGGGAGGGGAGACAGGAGAGGGAAAACAGAACAAGGGTGTGGGGTGACACTGTTCAAAAGGAAATATACTCACTACCTGACTGTAACCCCTCTCTAATCATCTTTATGATTTTTTAAGCATAGACAGAGGTGGCTGGTCAGGTGGCAGCTCTGTGACCTGGGAAAGGCTTGTTTCTACTCATTGAGCCTCAGTTTTCTCATCTAGGAAATGAGTCTAACACTAGCCCTCTCTGCTTCGCCAGCTGGTGCTGGGATCCTGTAAGGCCAGAGGTGTAGGAGATAGAGAGTTATGCCTGTGGAACCCTGATGTCAGATCTTACATTAGGTAGCTTCTGTTTCTTCTTCTCACTACACAAAACTCTAAAAAGATCCATGTTATCACCAAGTGATGTAACTGTCCTGACAGATCCACAGCTGGTTAGCAGTGAAGGGCCAAGAGAACAGGAGCACATTTGAAACTTCACACAGTGTCCTGAGGTCCCAGGAACACTATCAAACCCCAATCCCCAGGTCCTGATAAGACATCAGGAAAGTTGCATTTTTTTTAACCTGTGAGGGGCACAGATTGGACTTAGTCCTGAAGGGAGTCAGGACCCATTGAGGGTTTTTAAGAAATGGGGCCAAGCCATGTTTAAAGATAAGGAGATAGAGATTGAGACAGAAGGAGCTCTCCCACAAAGGTCACCAGCCTGACTGCTAATTTGCTGTTGATCTATACAGATCAGCTGAGAGGAAGGCCTTCCTGCCAGTGTGGGACTGGAACATGCGTGAAGTATGGAAGGACTAAGGGGAAGCACTGGATAGAAGAGGGAGGGTCTTGTGGAAACACAGATTCCAGCAGAAGCAAAGGCCAGGCTCTTGACATAGAACCCAGCCCTCCTTCTCTACCCCCCATCCACCATTTCCCAGTCTAGTGGTGGCTTGCTGCCTGGCACACTGGCAGTGGGGGCCACAGATGTCTTCCCTACTTTGCTGTAGGTGAAGCAATGTCAGGGAACAACCATTAGATCTTGTTGTTTCCAGAATGAGTCCCACTGTGTTTGGGTCTCTGGGGGTGTCTCGGCTCCCCTAAGCTCTGTCACTGAAGCTGAGATCTAGAAGTAGAGGAGGAGTTAGTCGGGAGAGGGCTGGATGATACAGGCAGGAGACAAGCACAGTACAGGCCCAAGAAGGTCCACTGAATGACAGGATAGCATCTGGAGCCACTCAGAACAGAATGAGGGCAAGGTAGGCTGGGTTGATCTCTTGGGGCCTCAGCATGGAGGGAGAAGCTGGCGACTCAGGAGCAGGGGTCTATCTTTTGGAAAGATGCATCAGTGCTGGATCCTTCTGGAAAGGCTAAGATTCAGTCAGAGAGCCTGTGCTGCAGCCTGTGCTGTGAATGGAACAGGGTCTGGATTTGCTGGGGCTAGGCTGGGTGTGAGACAAGAGTTCCTGCAGTGGCCGAGCAGTTGGCCCCATACTGGAGCTCTTTATCCATTAGGGGACAGAGGAGGAGAATTTGTATGTGGGATTGTCTGAAGGGAGCAGAGTGTTGTAAGGTGACTTATCCCAGAAAAATGGAATATTGGAGCCCTTATTATACAGTTAGCAGGCTACAGGCAGCCAGTTATTACAAAGGCCTGCAGCCCCCAAATACACACAGCACAGCTAGGAAACAGGCTAGAGAGGAAAGGAAGAGTAAAAACCAGCAAACCACTTCAGCTCTGATGGAGAGCTGAGTAGGAATGCCATAATGACTGGAAACAAAACAGGAGACAGGACATGACCACAGAGAGACACATGGTATGGCATAATGGCATCTGGGCTGGTCTGGGCCTAAATAGGGTCAAAGCAGGGAGTAGGTCCACAGGAAATCCCCAGTCCCAAGCACTGGACTGACAGATTCAGTAACCTATCAGCCAAGGGCCTGGTGGGGGTGTTTCCTTCTCCCAGTCTGAAGACAAGATGCCGGACCCTACCAACCACTATGTGTCCAATATGGCACCGGCCAGACCTGACCTTACTTCAAGGGAATGAATTGTTCACAATCCTTAAGTCTGGGGGCTGGGGACTGGGATGTGAAAACTGGAATCCTAGTTCTGCCCCCTGCTAGGAACATGGTGCTGCATAGTTATTCTTGATCCTTAGATTCCTCTCCAATAAGACAAAGGAGGTAATGCTTCCCTCAGAGGGGTTCCCATGGTTCAGGGGAAGATGTAATTAGACACATAGAAAGTGCACAATAAATGTAGGTTCCTTTCTCTGGGCACTGGGGTCAGGTCATCAGGCTTCCCTGGCCTCTACCCTTGGATTGAGGCTTGGAGGCAAACCCACCCCCAATGGGGCTAGGACTGTATGTGTCTCTTGCCCCCAGGGAAGCACTTCGAGGGCAACTGCTGCCCACAGAAGAAGACCAGGACGCTGAGGGCGTGTGCAAGCCTCTATCCTGCGGCTGGGAGATCACAGACACCTTGTGTGTGGGCCCTGCCTTCACCCCAGCGAGCATCATGTGAGCGGGCCTGCTCCCCCCCCCAACCCCCGAACCCCAGCGGGGCCGCGGAGATGCCTCTGGGAGAGGTGGGGAAGGCAGTGAGCAGGCACCCTCTGGCCAGGACTCTGGTGCCTGCTCTGCTGCCCCCACACTCCACCTGTAGTGTTTCTGCCCTGTAAATAGGACCAGTCTTACACTCGCTGTAGTTCAAGTATGCAACATAAATCCTGTCCCTTCCATCCGTGTCTGCCTTCTCTGCAGCGCAAAGGGCCTGGTCAGTCAGGTGTGGGGGTGTTCTTGGGGTCTTCCTTAGTCTCCTTCCACCTTTGTAAATATGAAACAAATAAATATTTAGTAGTTTTTTTTAATATTCCAGTGGAATCTGGAAGTTCAATTCACAAAGCAATCAGGGCCAGGCCTGGGAGAAACTTCCCTAGTCACCATGAATGAACCCCTGCGCTTCCAATTCTGTACTGCCATGCTCTGAGCCCTGTCTACAGGGTGGCATCTCCCACTGGTACCCACCTCTCCCGATTTTCCCCTGTCCTCTTCACAGGCCTCTATGCCTGGTCTCCTGAGGAAGGGTGAGATGTTGGGGCAAGGCAGGGGTCAGAACAGCTTCATTTCATGGGCTCATGACAAGCTAGTGGCCTCGGTGTGACCCACCACTCAGCCTGAGGTCTGGCTCAGAGCAAAGAAAACTGATTACTTGATACAGCTGTGGAGCAAAGGGGGCAGAGTCCACATAGATTGCTTTTTTGTTTTGCGGTGCTGGACCTTGAGCATGCCAAAAGCAAGTGGTCTACCGTTGAATTGCACCCCTGCCCCATAACCCATTTTTCTTCTGGGAGGTTTTAGTAAGCCCTGTGTCCTTTCAGTAGAGTAATGCCAATATATTGTGGTTGGTTTGGCTCTCAGGCAGTGACTGTTAGAATGAGGCCAGGCATAGAGTGTGTTGTGTCCAGTGCCAGCGGGCACTGCCTCACTCTGGCACGCCTGAGATGGGCAGTTCTTACCAGGACAAAGTCTCTTTCATACTGCCAGGATTCTAAGCTATGAGCCTTGAGAGTATGAACTGCTGGGAAAAAGACATCAGATTTTAGATTGCCCTCAGCTGCTGTAGGGGAACCCTAAATTCTTTTATCTACTTAGCTTTCTTTTTGTGCTGCTACGAGGCTTGAGCTCAGGGTCTTTCACTCTCACTTGGCTTTTTCCACTCACAGCTTGTTCTCTACTTTTGGAACCACACTTTCAGTTCTGGCCTTTTGATGGTTAACTGGAGACTAAGAGTCTTTTAGATTAGTCAGCCCAGACTGGCTTTGAACCACTAACCTCAGATCTCAGCCTCTTGAGTCGCAGGATTATAGGTTCAAACCACTGGAACCCAGCAATTTTTATTTTTAAGTGAAAAAACAAGATATAACTCAAGTAGCATAAAAATCTAGCCCTTTAAAGCATAAAAGTGAATGGTCTTCAGTGTATTTGGTTGTGCAACTATGACAACTACCAATTCTATACCTGAAGCTCCCTAAAGAAGCTCCTTACCCATCAGCTGTCACTCTGTTTTCCCTGTCCTCAAGCCCTGGTAACACACATACACTTTCCATCTTTATAGATTTGCTTCTTTGGACATTTCACTGCAATAGTTTTCATATTTTCTTGAGGGCAGGCTTAGCCACCCTGCTTCACTATTGCACATGGCGCTGAGGTCATCTAATGAGGCCATGTGCCATGTGTTCAGAGGAAATTAGGCGCAACATCTCCATTTGCAAGGTTGGGCCTCGTTTTTGTACTCAGGACATCAGGAGACTCAGCACACAAAGAAGTCTCTTGTTTCTTTGGTAGCCACCCAGAACCATGCTGTCCAAATATTCCCATATTGGTCCCAGGGCTCTGCTTGTCAGCCTGTTTCTGAAATGTCTTCCAAGCAGCTGAATCCATTCACACAGCTGCTTTTTTTCCTCCTCCTCATCCTCCTCCTTCTCCTCCCCCCCTTCTCCTCTTCCTTCTTCTCCCTTTCCCCTCTCTCTCCACCCCCCTCCTCCTCCTTCTTTGTGGTGGAAATGGGGCCAAACATTGGGTTTTCTTTTGAAACTGATAACTGCTGGCAAGTTACAGGTGTAACTCAATACTTGGTTGGGCACTTGAGGGCCTTCTGTGACTTTTGAAGTGACAAGTAGCTTGACCTGGAGCTTCAACAGATCACTCCCACTGGAAACTTTCCCGTGTTTCTTGTGCTATTTGCGGTAAGGATTTGAAATTTGCTTTTCTGAGAAAGTTATGTACAGGGGTCTCGATGTGACTTATTTACTCCAGACAGGCACTGAACCTTTCCCTCTCAGGGCTTGTCCTTTCTTCCTCTTCTCAGTCCACCCTTATTCAGAAGCCAGATCCGTCACTCCTGTGACTCCATTTTACCAAGAATGACAAAGTCCTCACCAAACTACCTCTGACTCCCACTCTTCCCCCCTCACTAATCCTGGCCACACTGACCGCTCCATTCCTCACATCCCACTGCTGGTTTTGCATTTACTCTCCCCTCCCTCTGGAATGGTCTTTCCTGTGGCAGTCACTCACTTAAGTCCTTCTATTCAAATGTTTTCCTCAGGCAAAGTCTTCCTGGATCACCTTTGAGAAAACACCACTTCCAAGTCTCTTTTTCCTATTAACTGGCTTTTCTTTCATATTGTACCTATCACTACTACTCATGTTTGTCTGTGTAGCATCTGTCATCCTGTCTAGAATGTAAGCTCCTTGGCAGCAGGAACCCTATTTATTTTTTCACTTCTGTATCCTCATCATCCAAACAGAGCAGGTGCTCAAAAGTATATGCCAAATAAATAAACATAGCTCTTAACCAATTGTTAACTCATTTGTAAAATGTGGCTACTCAATATATTTCCTTCAATGGGTAGTTATTATTAAGTAAGATGGGTAGAAAGCACTCAGCTCAGTGCCTAATATATCATTAGATGCTTAATAAATGACACTGGAAAGTCATTTCTTGGATGTTTATTTATTTCTTTTTTCGTCAATTGTGGGGCTTGAACTCTGGGCCTGGGAGCTGTCCCTCAGCTCTTCAGCTCAAGGCTAGTGCTCTACCACTTGAGCCACAGTGTCACTTCCTGTTTTCTGGTTGTTTATTGGAGTTAAGTCTCACAGACTTTCCTGTGCAGGCTGGCTTTGAACAGCAATCCTCAGCTCTCAGCCTCCTGAGTAGCTAGGATTACAGGCATGAGCCACTGGCACCCAGCCTGGATGTTTATTTCTTACCAGGGCTAGGTCTGTGCTAGAGACTGCTAATGCAGAGATGAGACTTCAAAGAACCTACAGGGTAGGAGTCATTGAGAACTTGAATGAGACAATTTGGAGCAATATGGAGCACTATATATTTCTGAAACACACGCATGACAGGACCTTAGAAGGCCTGATGGTGCCATGTTTTTCCTTTATCCCCCAGCCTGGGAGAGGTAGGCCTAGCCAAGGAGCCTGATGGAGGTCAGAAAGGATGAGTTGTCCTCTCTGCTCCTGCTCGTAAGGGAGATGGTGACTCTGAGCAGGAACTGCTTTTCTACTCCACCTTCAAGAAGTCCACTTGTCCATGACAGCTCATGCTGCCCTTTGCTGCATTTTAAACTCCTTTCCTGGCATCTATGAGATGAGCAGCTAAATTTGTGCAAAATTACCTGCGAGGGGTCAGAGAGGATTAATGTTTTGAAACATGAATCAATCCTGTCAGTCATCTGCCATAATCCTCTAGCTAATTCCCACTGAGATGCCAATAAAAACTAAATTGCCTGAGATCCCTGCCTACTCTTTTCTCATATTGCACTTCCTCAGTATGGGAGGAGGGTTGCCAGTGACCTCAGGGTTACAGTTGGGAAGACTCAGCTCAAGACGTTTAGTGAGCTAGTCTATGGCCAGAGACATACATGTATATAAGATACCCTCACACTCTCGGTGACCTTGGGGTCTGATTGCCAGATTTAAAAAAATATAGTACACCCAGTGAAATTTCTGCTTAGGTGAACGAGGGATACTTTTTATCTTGTGCAATATTTGGGGTAAAACAGTACTCGTTTGAAGTTCAGCTCTCACTGGGTGTCTTTTTTTTTTTTTTTTTGGCCGGTTGTGGGGCTTGAACTCAGGGCCTGGATTTCCGCTCAAGGTTAGCGCTCTATCACTTTGTGCCATAGCACATCTTCTGATTTTCTTGTGGTTAACTGGAGATAAGAGTCTCACAGACTTTCCTGACCAGGCTGGCTTTGAACAGCGATCCTCAGATCTCAGCTCCTTGAGATTTCTTTTTTTTTTGGGGGGGGGTCCGGACGTGGGGCCTGAACTCTGGGCCTGGGCGCTGTCCCTCAGCTCTTCAGGCTAGCGCTCTACCACTTGAGCCACAGCACCACTTCCGGCTTTTTTCCTTTTGCTTATGTGGTGCTGAGGAATCGAACCCAGGGCCTCGTGCATGAAAGGCAAGCGCTCTACCACTGAGCCACCTCCCCAACCCCTCAGCTCCTTGAGTAGCTAGTATTACAGGCGTGAGCACCGGCCCCTGGCTGGAGTCTGCATTTTATTTGCTAAGTCTAACAACCCGGCCTGGGAAGTCCTCTTCGGCTGGCTGGACGTCCCTGTATGGATTTCGTTTCCTCCATCCGTGGATCCGGGGTGTTTCTGAGAGTTGCGAAGCGACTCCTTTAGGCGGAGAACCCCCACATCCTCCTGCTCAGGACCCGCAACTTTCGGGGATGGAAGCGATGCTCTTAGTTACCGCAGAACGGAACCATGACTGCGCGGCTTCTAGCCGCTGGCGTCGCCCCGCACGGTCTCTCACTCCGTCGGCTTCCTGTTTCGTGACGTCACTTCCGCATCCCCGGGCCGCCACAGGGTCTGCACGCTCTGCCCACCCGGAGGCGGAACCGACTAAGTATAAAAACCAATGGAAGCCATTGGTTGAAAGATACAGCGGCAGCTCCGCCTCCAATGGGAAACGGAACTTTCGCTGAGGGCTCGGGCGGGAAGGAGGTCAACCCGGGCCGAGAGCGGCGTGGGGGGCGGAAGGCGGGGGGCGGGGGGGGAGTGACTCGGAGTCCACCGGAAGGCCCCGCTTGTACCGGAAGTGGATTCTGGGTTGTCTGCGACTTCTTCAAGTTCCTAAAGAACCGGAAGGCCGGTGGACGCGAGGGGACTCGTCTCTGCTCTCCCTTCGCTGTCATTTCATACTTGGGAGATGACATCTTTCTGGCAGCAAAACGAGGCTCCGAATGAGCTCTACCGAGGAGATGTTTGGCATTTTATTTTTTTTGGGGGGTGTCCGGTCGTGGGGCCTGAACTCTGGGCCTGGGCGCTGTCCCTCAGCTCTT